ATGCCTCTTTGTGGTCATGGTCTTCTCCTGAGAATTCTGGGAACTACTTCTTTCTCTCTGAAGGTGGGACACACACTCTCTCTGCTTTCCCTTTCCTGCTGATGAGACACTCAGAGCTGTGGAGACATGCGAAGACCCGTGCCAGTGTTGAGATGCTTCCACGGCCACTGGATCTACAAGACCTTGTCCCCATTGGCCTGTGATCTTCCTGCATTCAGCATCATTGCATGTGCTGTGTGAGTCTAGAAAGGAATTTATGGACTAGTATTGGACATTTGGGCTAATATCGGACTTATGGACTTGATCTGGACCGGGCTGGGATGTTTTCTCAATATTCAATTGCTCTTGTATATAAAGCTCTTTCTTATACACATATGAGTGTCTAAGAATTTGTTTCTGTAGTCTACCCTGACTAACACAGGTGGGATGTACCTTTAGACTCTAGCACTAGAAGGTGTGAGTTGTTACACCCTTTGTTTCCTTGGGGGTATGGACAGCTAAAAGACACAATCCACACTTACACCAAAGCCACTCCTTTGTCTATTGGAGCCATCTCGGACAGAGAGCAAGCCCAGGACTCTCAGAAGAGCATGTTGCAGCTCTCTGAAGTGGTGGAGGCTGAGACCAGAGGCACCAGAGAGACGGCATGGAGAATCGGGAGAGAGCAAGAGGAGCAGGATGAGCCTATGGGACTGTGAGAGCGAGCGGCAGGCTGGCTTCCTCGCCCACAGGTTGACAGGCTGCGGACTGGGGAAGGACTTTGCTGCTGGAGAATAGGGGTTACTGTAGACCAACGACTGTATTTTTACTGTTCACTGATCCTGAGTGATGGTCACCCAGTAACTTCTCCAATAACCATTTGTAATTGGGAATATGGGCTGGGAGTTGCGTGTGGCCATTGCAAAGTGTTACTGAGCCCGGCTCAGCAGCAGGGCTCCGTGGGAGAAGCAGACTAGGTAAAGGATGGGGCTTTGAGGCATGGCTGACCCCACCTCTGGGCAATAGGGAGGCCAGAATCCATCACCTGTGGCCTCCCATGCTAGTTACTGCAGTGAGAAGCATTCATATCATTTGTTTAGTTTGGGCTCATTCGTTCATTCTCCGTGTTGTGGATGACAGGATCCCTGGTGGCACAATGGGTGAGTACTTACTTGGCTGTTAACCCAAAACTTGGCAGTTTGAGGCCACTCAATGGCTCCTATAAAGATTAGCATAGAAAACCGTGGAATATTGAGTTAGTTAGTTTATTGTGCCAACCTTGCCGATAAACACACGTGGGGTTAATTGAAGGGCGGAGGGATAAATGGCTCCGTGAGCCTCACCTTTCTATTTCTCAGGTCTCTTGCTTTCTGATGGTCAGACCAGGGTGCAGTTGCCTTAGCCAGTTCCCTGCTTCAGCTGGCAAGGCTTACTTCCTGCAAAACATGCCCAAAGAGAAGCCACATGGACCTACCCTGATGCAGTCCTGGGTGCTGGAGCAGCCGCGTGGAGACCCCTGCCAGCGCTGAGATGCTTACACATTCACTGACTCGGCTTTCCTCCTGCAGTCGGCATCATTGCGTCTGTTTTGTGAGATGGAGGAGGACTTTGTGGATTGGTGTTGGACATATGGGTTAATGTTGGACTTGTGGGCTTGGGCAGCACGGGATTGGGATGTTTTCTTGATGCGCACTTAATGTTCATATAAAACTCTCCCTTATACATGAGTTTCTGTGGATTTGTTTCTCTAAAGTACCCAGACTGACACAAGTGCAGTTCTGTCACAAGGATCCCTTGGAGTTGGAATTGAATTGATGGAATCTAGCAACATTATTGATGAACATTTGTGTTTTTTAGTTTTGAGCTATTTCCAGTTGGAGTTAAAGGTTGCTCCTCCACACATTCTTGTACATGTCTTTTTGTATGCTCACATCTGATAGATATATATCAGATATATACTGGTATATCAGATGCTCTTGGATACACACACACACACACACACATATATAATAACCCCAGAAATTATGCATCTATTTGCCAAGTAGGACAGCCAATGGGGGATTATGGGGATGTCTGGGACAACCACCACCTCTATGAAAGCTGTCAGCTAGACAGGGAGGGAGACTGAAGCTTGATGGTAGACTTGGTTAGGGAGGTCAAGAAGTTGCGATGGGGCTCAGAGTGGGAAGAAATATAAGATGTTTTAGGATCCATTATCCCCCTCTGTGTCTGTGTCTCATTAGGTCTCACTGCCATGACTCTCTGAGAGTGATAACCCTGCTTTGGTTTTTATCTCGTAAATGTTGCACAGTTTCCCATTGGCCAATGCTAATATTTGTGCCTGCTGTTCTCATTGCCTGGGATTCTGGGCAGTGTTGTTTTCAGACTGTGTTGGGAGTCCCACAGACTAGTCTCAATAATTTGTTAGGAAGACTCCCAAGACTCAGAATCTAATCGTACTCACAGCTATTCTGCATTACACAAAAGGTTTACACAACAAATTCTGAAAAAGAAAACGAGGAGCCAGATTCAAAGGAAACCAGGGACAAGCTTCCAAGAATTTTCTTTCAGTTGAGTCAAGCTGACCCGGCAATGAGTTGTGACAACATGGTTGAAATGTTGTCGATCAAGGAAGCTTATTAAAGAAATGTCCAAAGTTTCTCTCCTCTCTCTCTCTCTTTTTCTGGGAACTGGTCACATACACCCCCTCTGCCTAGCATACAACACAATCTCAGTCTCCTAGAAGGGAAACAGCTGTTCCGCATAAACTGTATTTTTTCATACACACAGGTTACATGCAGTGAGCCACTTTTATAACTTTAGCCCAAGTCTCCTAGAAGCCAGCCAAAAGTCAATCTTGCAAGCAGACTTTTATAAAGGGTTTTAAAAGAGGATTTTAGTATTCTCTGGGAGGAAAGACAGGGGACAATGAAATACAATTGGGATAAAGTACATAGGAGCTTCAAATATATTTATGACATTTTACTTAGTGATGCAATTAACTAAAATAACTAGAAGATGGAAGGACAACTCTTAAAACTATTATAAATAAGAATCCTTTTAAATGCTCAGTGACATTTATGTTTTGATGCTAGAAAAGGTTAGAGACAATTTATGATGAATGAAAAAGGTCTTTAATGTCTCAGTTTATTCTCACTAGACTATTGTCCTGCTTGTTCACTCAACTTATTAATTTTAGATTTGGCTCTAAATGGTTTCATCTGTTTCTAGTAATCAAATTTTACCCTTAAAGGATTAATGCTTTGATAAGATATAGAAATACATTTTTCCTTAGGTTCTAAGGTAAATTGGAATTCCTCCCTTCCTAATCTTTTTGCATAATAAATTAATGTTGTTAGATGCTACTGAGTCAGTCCCAACGCCTAACAACTGCAGGAACAACAGAACAGAATACTTCTCGATGTTGGGCCACCTTCACAATCTTTCCTATGTTTGAGCTCCTTGTTGCAGGCTCTATCGTTCCACGTCACTCAGTCTTCTTCTGTTTTGTTGGCCCTCTATTTTTCCAAGCGCGACACCCTTTGCCAGGGACTGGACCCTCCTGAAAATATGTCCAAATATGAATGAATCTCATCATCCTCACTTCTAAGGAGTATTCCGGCTGTACTTAGTCCAGGACAGGTAGTCCCATTGATTTACTTCATCGCCTAGGGAATTTGGAAAACCAAGGAA